CCCTGTCCTGAGCCAGTCTCACTGACTCCAACACTCCTATCCTCATTCCCCAGCTACTGTAGCAATCCATCTCATGTGGGATCGTCTTCTCCTCCACTGTCCCTTCACCCTTCCAAGCGTGATGTCCTTCTCCAAGGACAGCTCCCTCCTGGCCACATGCCCAGCTGGATTTCTTGATATAGCAGAATAAATGTCCATTGTCTGGAGAGATGATAGATAGATAGATAGATAGATAGATAGATAGATAGATAGATAATCTGCCCATTCTTCTATGAATACTTGAATTTCTTTCACCTTTTAAATATTATGAGGAATGTTTCTGTAGGTGATGGTGCACAAGTATATCTGTATGAGACTCCTGATCTCAGTTCTTTTGAGTACACTAAGGACTGGGATTGACTGAGTCATATAGTAATTCTATACTCAGCTTTTTTAGTTTCCAACAAACTTTTCTGTAACAATTGAATCATGTGTGATAAGATCTCGAATTTATTTTAAAATGTTGCCATTTGTTTTGTATAGAGGTTATATACACTGAACTTTTAATCAAAGTTAAAGTGGCAGAGAAGAGTACATTGTATATAACTTCATTTTTTTACTAAAAGTTAAAGGACTGAAACTAAGCATATGTGTTTATGACTACATAATAATATAATATTAATTAGAAAATTACTGAAAGAAAATACAGTGAAATGTTAATAAGAGAATATTATCTTTTTCTTTTATGTTTTTTCTTTTTTATTATTATAAAGATACATGTAACACAATATATGCCAAGTCAGTGTTTTTCAAGGGTACATTGTTTTTCAGTGGTACTAATTATATGAACCATATTAGACAACCTTCATTAATAATTTTTATAAAATTGTCCATTTCCATAAACAGAAATTCACTGCTTCCTAAACAATGAACAGCTCAGTGCTTCCTTTTCCCCTTTCTCTCATTACACACTGGCCTATTCTGAACATTTGGTATAAGTGAGATCATGAAATATTTACCCCTTTGTGATAGATTTAATTCACTCAGTATAGTGTTAGCAGAAATCATCCATCTTTTAGCAAGTCTCAGAACTTTATTTATCCTTATGACTGAGTAATAGCCCATTATGTGGCATGTACCACATTTTGTCATTATGTCTGTTGATGAACATTTAGGTTGTTTCCTCTTTATGGTTTCAATTGTTGTGTTTATAATATTTTTATAGGATAAAATATAAACCCTTTTAAAAGCAAACAACCAGAAAAATTATCACTAAATACTTAAACTAACCTTAAGGCGTTATACTTTAAATTTTAATAGCGTAATCTGCATTATGCAGATGACACAACCTTGCTCGCTGAAACTAAGGACCTCATGCACTTACTGCAGAGGGTCAAGGACTGCAGCCTTCAGTATGGACTGAGGTTCAATGTCAAGAAGACAAAAATTCTCACCACTGGACCAATCGGTAGCATCAGGATGGATGGCAAAGAGATTGAGATTGTTCACAGCTTCAGTTTGTTCGGCTCCACACTCTTGGCACCAGCAGCCAGGATATCAAAAAACGTATTGCGATGGGAAAGTCTGCTGTTACGAACCTCTCTAAAGTACTCAAGAGCAACGGTGTCTCTTTGGAGACTAAGGTGCGCCTGATACAGGCCATGGTCTTTGCAATCACTTCATCAGAGAGCTGGACAATGACTAGGGAGGATAGAAGGAGAATTGACGCCTTTGAGCTGTGGTGCTGGAGAAGAGTATTGAATGTACCATGGACTGCCAAGAAAACAACAGATTCATCCTAGAGAGAGTTAAACCAGGCTACTCCTTGGAGGCAAAGATTCTGGGGCTTCGTCTGACATACTTTGGACATGTTGTAAGGAGAGACAGGTCTTTGGAGAGGGACATCATGCTGGGTAGAGTAGAGGGACAGCGCAGGAGGGGAAGACCCTCTATGAGGTGGATTGATTCAGTGACTGGGGGAATTGGGATGGGTGTGCCACAGGATAGAGCACGGTTTAGGGCTGTTGTACATAGGGTCGCTATGAGTTGCAAACAACTCGACAGCACATAACAACAAACAACAAAACAAAAATTTTAATATTGATATAATTGTTGCTGTTTTGTAATACAATAGTTATATATAAGTGGAAAAATATAGTAGCTTTAGTGTAAGTAAAATTTGGCCTTTTTTCGACTAAAGGTATTTCTATTTTTTCTGTAGCGGAGGTGAAACGTGTAGGAGACACACTTCTGGGTATGGCCACACAGTGTGTTCAAGTCAAGAATGTAATCAAAACATCTCCTCAAACTCTTTCAAACTTGTGCCTAAAAATAAATGTTAAGCTTGGAGGAATCAATAATATTCTTGTACCTCATCAAAGGTAAGAAAAGCCAATCACTTATGAAAGTTATTCATTTATTTTCTTATCTTATTTTTTCTATATTTTGCCATAGCTATCTCTGTGTGATTCCTACCATGGGAGATAAATAGCACTGTTAGCAAAAAATTAAGTATTTTGATTGGCAAAATTAAGATATTTGCTTGTGAAAATCCCCCTTACCCCTTATTTGTATTATTACATTATTGTTAAGGACTTTTTACATAACTTCTTCTTGTAGTTATTTGCCATCAGGTTGACTACGACTCTCAACAGCCTTATGAACAATAGTTTGTAACCTTGCTAGAAAATATAAATGTTAGGACTTTGAAAGTTTTCTTTGTTTCTTATTGGCTTCTCTCTATTGAAAATTCTCCTTCATCCAGAATTATAGTTTTATGGAATTACTTAGTCTCTCAGCAAAAAGTGAGTCTTTGGAATGGAGAAAGACGAGGGCATTTGGCTAGTTAACAAAATAAGCCATATTAACATGTAGTCATCGTGACAATGAGTGTTAGAGTTAAATTATCTCTTTGAAAGTATGAGACATCATGACGCAGAACAGGAAAGAGCACCAGAGATGAGGCCATTAATGGGAAAATTGAACAAGTTATCCATCAGTTTTAAAAGGATGGATCTTTTTAAATTATTATTAATATTAATGAAAATTTACAGAGACTTTGGATTTCCATTCATTCATTGTTGCACTTTTGCTCCAGTCC